ATGCAGAACCAGAACAAGTAGACTTCTTCTGGATATTATATAGTTAAAAAAAATATAGTAACTTAACTATTCTTAATACTGCTTAGTTATAATACTAGTAGTAATTAATAAGACGCTTTTATCTGAAGTTGGTTTGAAAATACTAGTACTATAACTTAGTACTAGTAGTACTAAATATAAGTAGTATCTGTATACTGTAAAATATATATAAATACTAATACTAGTAGTAGTATAATATCTTAATTTTAATTAATACTATAATACTGTAAGTCTATCTTCTAAGTATATTATAAAATATCTGTAAATATATCTTACCTCTATTTTTTCCACCTCTAAATCACTATTTACAATTCTTAAACTTAATATTTTATTAATGTTTTTATAATAATATATCTTTACTAATTTTATAATAGTAATCTAACTTGTGTTGTTGTTGTTATACAGTCTACTAAAAAAAAAGGGGTTGAATTCTACTTTTTTATAAACTCTACTCTTTCCTCTTAGCAGATATTATACTACTAATAGTTTTTTTCTCTGGTTTTATTACTTTAAGTTTTTTAGTTGCTTTATAAATATATTGATTCTTTTTACAGCTAAAAATATGCTTTAAGTAAGAGAGTCAGGCTTTTATATCCTTTACTGGTCTAACAGTCTAGAAATTAAAACATCTAGTTAGACAGCTTTACTAAATATATCCCCTTCTTTATTATGTCTACAATTCAACTAACTTTTTATTTATTTAGAAACTGAGACTTTCTCTTTATTAAACAAGCAGAAATCTAATAGTAAGGGTGTTCTAGTATTAGGCTAATACCAAGCCTTCCTTCTATTAATATTCTATATATTACTAATAATTTAATATATAATAAATTTAGATGCCTTTTTTAATAATGCCGCCCTTAATAATGTCTTCCTTAATAATGCCGCCTTTAATAATACTCCTTTTAATAATACCTTTTTTAATAATACCTCCTTTAATAATATCTTTTTTAATAATATCTTTCTTAATAATGCCTCCTTTAATAATACCTCTCTTAATAATACCTCCTTTAATAATGCCTTTTTTAATAATACCTTTTTTAATAATACTAATAACACTTATTTAACAGATATATATATATTTTAAGATAGGTTATATTCTCTTTTAGAATACTCTCCTTATCTTAAGCCTGTAACAGATAGGAGTTTGTTAAATTAGTTTTTTACAGATAGCCCCTAATCCTATCTACAGACTCTCTATCTGACTTTCTTCTTACTTTTAGAATCTGGACTTTTAGTACAGAGATTTCTCGAGAAGACTATACTGGCTTAGTAGAAATATTCCAGTTACTTAATAATTCTTTAGTTTAAACTCTTCTAAAAAAGCTGGACACCCTTAAACAAGCTGTTAAAAGATTCTTACCCCTTCTTTTAACTAAAGAATATAAAGTTAATATTAATCTAAATACACAGTCCTCTTTTTAGTTGTTGCCTAAAGAAGATCTTACTAAGAAAATTCTAAAAGAACTTTAGATTATATACAATCTTCCAGAGCTGTTCTACTATATTCTATTATCTTAGCTTAGCCAGAAAAAGCTATATTTTGGAATAGCTAAATACTTTGATAATCTAGTTAAGCTCTGGTACTCTTATATATGGGGGTTCTTTCTAGTAACTATATCTAATAAGTATATATCTCTTTCTAATAAAAATCTATTACTACCAGATAATTTTATTCAGATAAATTGCAAGATGTTCTAGGACTATAGAATTCCTGTTTAATACAGTTAGATTATTTTTATAGGACTTAATAGACAAACATTCTCTTCCACCGGTAATCAGATTGTTCTGACTATACAACCAGTATTAAAACAATACTAACTATTTAGACTTTGTAAAAACTATTCTGATCTTTCTAAACCAGATCACAACTGCTTTTACTTTTTGGTCGAATATTAAAAGTATCTAAAGATCTTAATATTATTAGTCTTAGAATAAGTTAACTTTGTACTCTCTTATTAGACTACCCTAAATAATAATTTGATTTTTATTTTTTATATACTTTATCTACCTACTTGTAAGTTTTAATAATATATTAAAATACATCCCCTTTAAGCAGAGTTGGAGATTAAGTATTATAAATACAGCTACTTCCAGTAGTTATCCAAGCAGCCCAATATCCGGTTAATCCTATTTCTATTATTTATTAATAACTTTGGAGTATACTGAAATATATATAAAGCTTTTAAGGGTTTTTACCTTACTTTAGTAGGATTAACTTACTAGGAATAATATTATCTGGATAACTTTTTTACTCTGATACTGGGTTCTTATAGTATAAAAATAGAAAACAGTATCCAGATATTTTAAAATAAGATCTGGACTCTTTTTTAAGAATTTTATATATATTTTTATAGAGTATACACAGTTATTACTGTATCTATTATTATATTTACCAGTAATATGCCCTAATAAGTAAAGAATTCTGGTGCTTAAAGCTATAGTACTAAGTTTAGATGTTGTACCTACTATTATCTAAAAAATAGTAGGTATAACTTAAAGTTTGACTCTCTTTTATACGGTTGGTATCACTTTAAGGTTAAGTTATTCTAAAAGTATATAGAAAATCTTTTCTTACCTACTAAACAGATTTAGTTTTTTAGTTTAAAGGGTTTATTACCTTACCTATTACTACTTAAATTACTTATACTATTATTAGATCTTATTCTTAGTTAACTGTATAATATTCCTTACTTGGATTAGAAGGATCTTGGTCTCCGTCTTTAGAACTTTATACTTTAGATTTTAAATCTATAAAATACAAAGAAATATTCTGTAGCACTTTAGAAAATTACTAGGCCTATTTATTAGTTTTGTCTTCCAGTATTTAAACACCTTTAGATATAGATATTATCTAAACTTAGACAAGTACTTGTTCTACTTCTACTAGTCTTACAATATAAGGCTGATAAAACTTAGTTTTATTAAAAATATTTTAAATATGCTTTAGTTCTGCTTCCAATACTTTATCTGCAAATTAAACTAAGTTTATTACTAGAATATATTATCCGGACCTGTGCTGTTATTGCCTAAGGGATTTTAGCAATTTTAATATACTATGCTATTCTAATTCTAATAATATTCTAATTTATTATATATAGTTAAAAAGCTTTTTAGTATCTTATTACAGTTGCTTTATTACTTAAACCTTAAGATTTAAAAAGATTTATGTCTGATAGTAATATATCTTATTTTTTATAATATAAATAACTGGCTAACTGTTTATAGATAAACTACCAGTTTTAAAAAAAAAATAGCTCCAAAATCTTGCTGTTTTAAATATTTATATTAGGATATACTTTCTATTATTTACTACAGAGTATGGGCTATTAATAAACTGTAATATACTAAGCAGAGAATAGAAATATAGATAGATATAAAGTAATTTTTTTACTGTCTAGAATCTTAACTCTAATTACTTTTACTTTTATTTTTAGAATTTATAAGACCTGGGCAGATCGGGCCTCGCTATATAACCTTATAATCTATTTTTTTTAAATAGATTGGATTTGACAGTCCCTGCAACTTAGGTTTAATAGTACTTAGAACTATAGCTTTTTTATCTAAGTTTAATTAATCTTAAAGCTCTGCCAGCTATGCTTATGGCTTTTAAATTACTATATCCTACCAAACAAATATGATTTTATAATTAAGAAATATATTCTATCTAGATAACTTAATTTTAGAAGACTAAAAGTCTGTTTAATAGATTAAATTTTTAAGATGCTTTTACTAGTATATTTAACAGAGTACTTTTAAAGTATTCTAATCCAGTATAATAGTATAATACTATTTTTTTAGAGTTATATTAGGATTTCTAAACAGTTAGTCTATGGTTTTTTACACCTTTATATTATACTTACTAATATTTATTAGTTCCCATCTACTTTATAGTTGATTATTTATTTAATATTATTCTACTCTATTCTATCTTTTTTATAGGGTTATATACTATTTTAGTTATTAATATTCTGTATTTCTTCTTATAAAACCTTTACAAGTAATTTAAAAAGATCCTTTATTAATACTTTTTTGCTTTAAATATTTAAGTAAATAGGCTTTAATAAAACCTGATCCTGATATTAAAAAAGTATTTATATTAGATTTTTTATAAAAGTCTGCTTGTACTTTCTCAACCTTAACAGTTTTAATACAGTGTATATAGAATATTGACTTTATTTAAAGTATTATAAAGGTTTTTATTATTTTTATATTATAAAATACTATTTTATATACTTAAAAATCTTAATAGTACTGTTATTACTTCTTAGCCTACAGTTACAGAATAGAGAGATAACTAATCTAATATAAAAAAAACTCTAAGTAACTTAAATAATATTTAAGGTAACTGTTAGTATTAAAATTAATTATTAAAAAATCTACTTTTAATACCAGCTATATACAGTTCTGTAATATACTCTTTTAATTATATAACAGTATTTCTTATTTTATAACTATTTTTTACTACTATAACTGTATTGCAACTGTACTCTAACTGTATTGTAACCGTACCGCAACTGTATGATAACTAATAACTACCGTTTATAACTAAGTACTACTATTATTAACAGTAAAAAAGGCTCTATACAGACCCCCTCGGCCCGCTATGTATTGCACTACCTCCATCAATCGCAATTTAGTGTCCTGTATTCTTGTATAATATTTATTGTATCCTTAGTCGACAAGCGTGTCGGGCTGTTGGTGTCCCTGAGCGAAAAAGGGAAACCACATGAATTACTCGACGCAAAGGCCCAAATCATACCGCTCAAGAGATAATGCCATCCCGTAGACTCTCATTGCAGTTAGTCGAAGCAATGTTGTCTAGGCTTTTCTGTGGTGGCGGAGATGATCGTGTGACGGTCATGTGACCAGAATTGAAACCCGCAGCGTCTCCCGTGCCTACGGCAACCTACCCGTGCCAATTCTGCAATAACCCAACATCTATAGTATTTCCGTACCATCCGCGTTCGCTTTGGCAATCAACATCTCCGCCTTGGATGGTAGTCAACCAACACAGCATGTTCACAACTAAGATCTCCAAAGCATGTCAAGAATGCCGAAGGCGTAAGATCCGATGCGATGGGCTGAATCCGTGCTCGACGTGTCAGCGACGCAACACCGTGTGCCAGTTCCGAAAACGCGCTCGTGTGCGTCAGCGGCTGGGGCCAGCCATTCCACCACCATACACTCAGGGGTCGGAAGCGCCCTTTGGCGACCTGGAGGAGACCCTGAGTCAGACCTTGACTGAAGCAGCATTAGCTGCAGATCTAGCTAGTCCCGGGGAGAAGCCGAAGGAGCGCCAGCACCCGCCTAGTGAACCTCCATCGCACCTCTACCGGGATGTGCACAAGAGTGTGTCCGCCCGTGAAGAATCATCTTCATCGGACTCAGTGGAATTGTACTATGGCCCAACCTCCGATTTCTCCCTGCTCCAGCACCTTTACCGTCGTCTATACATCCATGCGAATTCGTCGGCCCCTCAACCCGGCCGAGGCGATATAGACGAGGTAGACCAGGGGCTGGACTTCTTCCGCATCCGCCATATCTTCTTCGGACCAACCACAGCGGCATCGGGCTCCGACCAGGCCGAACAGCCCCTCCTAAATCTGCCTTCACGACAGGTTTGCTATACCCTGATGAACCGTTTTCTTGCTACCCATTACAATGTCGTTCCCTTTTACCTGAAATCCCGCTATGACCAGTTGCTCCGGGCCTTGCTTGGCGACGCCGACAGCAGTCCGTGTAGCCCAGTTCAGAAGCAGATCGGCCTCCTAGCCATGGCGACTGCTGCAGCCAATACCGAGCACTTTGAATGGGGTGCGACCGTGGCGGAGTACTGTGAAGCTCAACGTGCAAAAACAGAGAACATTGTCAGCTTGGAAAGTATTCAACTGGGAATCATGATGATAAGTCTAGAACCTCCCCTCCTCGAAATGCTTTTCCCCATTGGACAGCTTGGCGAAGGTGCTGACTGCAGCATATTCACGCCATTTATCATCTGGAGTATGCGCATTCCAACATTGCCTACGTTGTCATTGGCAATGCTTGTCGCAAAACCTTTGCCGCTGGTCTGCACCGGCAGCAGTTGCGCGCAAACTCGGATGACAATCAGGGCATGTTAGAGCGGCGCCATACCTTTTGGTCACTCTACTTTGTGGAAATGTAAGGGTGTTCCAGATGTCTTTTGTACCTAAATGACTGTTTCTAGATGGATCAGCTTCTATCTCGGTCGCCCGAGCATGCTGGAATTTATCAAGGTCGAAGTTTCGCAACCACAAGACATCTTTCTCTCGATATTGCAGCACTTCGCCACTGTCATGCTAAAGATCGTCCAGCAAATTTACCGCCCGCAATGCGCCCCAGCCGCCTTGTGGAACAGTGCCATCGCCGTCGGCAGAGAGATGTCTGCACTTCACTCCAAAGCCCAAGCTGACTTCGGGATCGAACTCGATGCGCCTCGGATAAGTGATCCACGGGGTATGCGACCCACGATTCTCGTTACCTGTCTGTATCCACCCCTTCTTCCATGCCCACAGCACGGTAGCTTTGATGCCAACATTTGACTTCTAGTGTATAATTTCATGTCCTTACTCATCTTTCGGCCATTCCTTATCATTCGTGGCAAGCTCCAGCATTCCCAGGCGGAGGCATCTGAGTCTCCCTCCACTTCATCGCAGTCCCGCCCGGACATTCCCAGCTGGCTTAATGATGCATGTCACCGGTGTTTGAATGCGGCCAAATCCATTATTCTCTACATTTGCCATATTTCCGCCTCCGATTCTTTACTCCTGGTAGGAAAAGCTTAGTTTGACTGTCAGCGGGGTGATTGGCCGTACCTAACACCGCCCATTTTGTAGGAACTCCGCTTCAACTGTTTCTATCTGGAGAATTGCCTATTTGTGCTCCTATACGACATGGCCTCTAACCCAGAGAAGCATACCCACAATCTGCCCCTCATCCACGAGGGTTTGCAGTTTCTGGCCCGCATGCGACCGGGCGATCCCGTGTGCAGCTCCATCACCACCATCCGCCGCATTCTGCATCATTTAAACCTCGACGCCGGACCCGGGGAGCTCGTGCATGATCACCACCACCAGCAGCATTCTCCACAACTACAAGGTTTCGACCCCTCCTCACAACCACCACCACCGACATTGCCACTTTCTCTGTCACAGATGACCATGGGGCCCGGGGTCTGGGAGGAGCAGCCACAGCAGCACCCGCCGCCTCTCTCATCCCAGCCTCTGGGGAATCCCGGATTACTGGCTCCCAGTACGGATCTACAATTTGACTTAGATATCTCCGGGGCGGATTTTAATGTGGATATTACGGCGATAGACTGGGGGACTTTCTTTTCTTATGTGCCGAATCAATGATCTACTTTCCGGTTAAATCACAAGAGGTTTTCAGAAGTATGAAGCAATGAAATGGCAAGCGGCAGCCCCTGCAAATCCTTGGTAAATTCAGATCTTTCTCCTTCTTCTTCTTCTTCTTCTTCTTCTTCTTCTTCTTATTCGTCCCCTCCTTTTTCTAACTTTCAACCTTTGATCTTAATAAGTTCTCTGTCTCATCTCCTTCCGTGGAGAATCCGAGAAATGAAAAGATTTTCACTAGATCGGGTCCCTCCAACATCAGAAATCCGCCATCCGTAAGTCCGCGCTGCGGAAGAGCGGATTTACGGGAAGGGGATCCACCCGGTTCCCCACAGTTCTGTTAATGTTGGTGTGCGTCATGAGCCCTGGAATTTGGCTTTCTCTTTCTTTGGGTAGGTGGACACAGGAAAAGGGGAAAAAATGTTTATGAAAGAATTAACCTTGATGAAAATAGTGGCGAAGGACTTAGTGCCTATCTACACATAGAAAACAGACTACTACTACGTACCACTAGTCATGTTCGGCACCAGACCGAGCCTTGAGACCAGATCTCAATGCCGAGACGGGCCGATCTCTTGTCCATCCGTTCAGTCCGTCACCACATCTATCTTGCTAAACAGATGAAAGGTGCTCCGTTGTTCCGGGGCAAAGAGGCTTCATTGACAACCATTTTTTCAGCTGGAATTCCCAAACGTAAGAAGAAAGATGAGGAAGCAAGGAAGGCAGAGAACGGAAAAATAAGCAGAATATAAAATCCGGCGACCGGCGCTTGGATGAGCAGTCTTCATACTGGTACAGGGCCTCTCCACCCATTGAAAATCGAGCCTCTTCGACGTTCAACATGCGCACCAGCTTATTGTCAACCTCTTTACTTCCTTTTGCGGGGCTCATCGTGGGAGCGACCGCTTGTGAAGACCATTCCCTCCCCCAGCGACCCGCCCCTGCCGATGGGTATGACTACATCGTCGTCGGTGGTGGTCCTTCGGGGATCATCACGGCGGAGCGCCTAGCTGAAGCCAACAAGAAGGTCCTGCTCTTGGAGCGCAGTGTGACAGGTCCGACTGTCGCCACGGGGTCCAACCACTCTTTGGTTTGGAAACGACACCTTGACGGCTAATGATGTCCCGGACTTGTCATGTGATGTGGGCAACATCGATTATGTCGGCGGCTATCTTTGCTCCGATACCGAGGGAACCGCCGCCTGTATTCTCGGAGGAGGCGTTTCGGTCAACTATATGGTCTTTGTTCACCCTCCAACCGTGATCTTGACGACAAGTGGCCGCAGGGGTGGAAGTGGCAAGATGTGCAAGCTGGAGCGGAGCGGCTCTATCTTCGCAACCCTGGTAGTAGCCTGCTCTCCGCTGACGGCCAGCGTTACGACCAGGTCTTGTACAACATTCTCGCCAACTTCTTTTCCCGCCTTGGCCGGCGACCCGTGGATATGAGCGCCCAACGCAATGAGAAGCATGAGGTTTACAGCCGCCCTGTTTGGAATGTCGAAGATTATAAACGTGCGGGCCCACTCCGCACGTATTTACCATGGGCTCTGCAACGTGAGAGCTTCTCTCTGCGTATGAATGCGATGGCCACACGCGTGGTCCGGGAGGGCAGCCGCGCCACGGGCGTCGAACTTATCTACGCGGATCGCAATAATGCTACTGAGATTATTCCCTTAGCACCTCGGGGCCGTGTGGTGTTGTCGACCGGCGCCTTGTCCTCGCCACGAATCCTCTTCAACTCCGGCATCGGCCCGAGCGTCCAGATTGAGACGGCCCGACGGAGTGGCGTTGCTGTCCCGCCAACTAAGGACTGGATCGGTCTGCCCGTCGGGGTAGGCTTGATGGATCACCCAATCTTCTCTATTGTCGTCAAGACAAACGGCACCTTCAACGAGCTAGATACCGAGGCTATCCTGAATAGGACAGCTACAGGTCAAAGTCATGCCTACGAGGACCTGAACGCAGGAGTGTTGACCCAGGGTTAACATCGACTGGTGTTCTTTACTTCCAATGTCGCTAGCGATGGTATTACCAGCTACTACCAGGGCTCGTGTACTCCCACTGCCGAGGGTGTTGTGACTATCACTGCCTATATGACCCACGGACTGACATCTACCGGCGTGCTCGGGCTTGATACCTCGCAAAAAACGATCTTTCAAGTCTCTCCCTACCTGCAAACAGCTAGGGATCGCGAGGCGGCTACCCTGTTTGTGCAGTCAATGGTGGATGCCATCATCGCCCCTGGGACTGGACTCGAGCTTCAGGAATACACCAACACCTCCGCAATCCTGAGCTCCCTCACGGCGGGCATTCACTATGCCGGTACGACGAAGATGGGCCTTGACGACGGTCGCTACCCCAACGGCACCGCAGTGGTGGACACCAACACGGAGGTGTACGGAATGGACAACCTGGTACGTGACCTGTGGAGTTTCCCCCAGCACTCAGTTCCGACTGTCTACCGGAGGCACACGCTAACCTTTCTTCGCTTGGGGACTTTAGTACATCGTGGATGGTGGTATTCATTCGGACCTGGCCTCAGGCGACAACCAGGCCTACATCATGGCCGTGGCTGAAAATGCCGTGCAACGGATTCTGTCTCATCCGGATGACGAGTAGTGGCGGGTAGGAATTGGTCTGGTGCTGGGGCTGTACGATCTTGCAACTATCTACCCATCCACAACCTTCGCCGCACGCAACTGGCGTTGCTGTTTTCTGGCATTTTGTGTCTCTCTTCTGTTTGGGTTCTATTCGTTTCACAAGCAGCTAAGGTTATATCTTAGTAGCTAAACACCGGCAGGTAGTGGCCTGGTAGCTGTCCATCAGCTCAAGTTGCTACCCCTCAGACAACCGGGTGCGCACTTGCAGCTCACAATTTCAATACAATGCTTTATTGTTCTTATTACAGACAAGAGCGGGCCTATATTACTTTTGCTTTAAGGCTGTACAATGAAAGTCAATGGTGGGATAGGTGGGTGATCGGTAAATGTACAAAGCAATACCATTCATCAGAAGTCCTTTCCCGCTCGGGCCCAGCACGAACCGACCGGTCAGCCGGGGCCGGACATACCTTGCCGGCGAAAGTCCTCGAGATATCCATGGCCATGAGAGTTTTGACTACAAATTGATCTCCAACTTCCGCATTAGAAGTGATTGAAACAAAAAAAAAGACGGAGGTGAAAAACATACAACAGAAGGGATTCGCTGGTGGTCACCCACCCAACTACTAACCTCCCGGCGTGTGGCTTGAACGCGGCCAGAAGGCGGGTGGGTGCCGTGCGGGTGAGCTAGCGGGTGAGGCCGCTTTACAGTCGCGCGACCGGGGGTGAGTTAGGCTGAGTATCTTTTAAGGATGGGTGAGCAATCACCCCGGTCGCGTGTGTTCAGCAATCTCACCTGTTCAAACGTTCAGATCCACTTCATTTCTGTGTAGCAATGATGATTGGTTTGAAATATTGTGCTGGACTTGCTAAGCCACGAAACTGACTCGAGATTATCTACTTTAGGTCTAGCTGCCACGTAATCAGTTCTATTTCCCTATACCAGTATGTATCAGAGAATGTGAAGTAAGGAGGAAGCTTAGAAGAGCTATAAAATTAACGCAAAAATCGCCCTATCCAAATCTCAATAAAGATTTGAAGTGAACAAGATAATTTGTCAATGGTTATACATTCTAAATCAGAAAGTGGAGCCAATCTATTCATCTAGACATGATCTAGGTATATTTATATTAAGTATCTACTTAATTTAATGCATGAGGGGCAGAATCTCCTTACGCTTATGTACTTCTGAAGGTGAAGTCTAGACCCGGTTATACTGTAATCTGAAGCTTCTCAGGTACCGTACAGGAGCGGGGTTGTAATCATACTCTGACCGTTCGCCTTAGGCGATATGCAGGATTCTACTATCTCCATTCTCTATATACAGTACCCCTTGTCTTTAATACCATTGTTTCCTGTCAGACCTGGAGCCTCGTCAGACCCTATACGCTGCCTGAGATTGTGTTCTGCGGCTCTTATAGCAAGCGGCTTCGAAATTTCTGACACCATCACAAAGTTTAGAGTATTTTTACACCATAAATACTACTAATATCTTACAAGGGTAACTTTATATAATATATCTTACCTATTTTACCTAATAGATTATCTTGCTATCGCCCTCTCAGTATAAGTAATTTTGTAATCTAAGGGAAGACCAATTCTATTCGCCTGAACTTATCACAGTAATAAGAACGCAGTATTCAGTCACCTACTTTCTCTATCCTAACATACAGCCATAAACTACTGCTGTAATTGTTATCAACTGCTAAAATCATTTTAAATTATTTATATATAAATTATTATACAATTCATCTTTTTTCTCTCTATACTGACCGCGTTAACCAACTTGACAGTTCTGGCTTTCTCTACTATTAGTGTTACGGGACGGATGGATTGTGCTAATCGAAACGTGCCTTAGAACAAGAAGAAATAGCTGAAGAGCTATTTCGTCTGTTCGTACGAAATTTCTTTATGTGTGCTAAGCTAGCGCTAGTTTAGTATGTAGCGTGCGAGGCCTCAGGCATCAACTGGTGCCTGAAGCTGAGCTCTATATCAGGGCCTTGGTCCCATAACAATTAGTAATAAGCTAAACAATACTCGTCTAACCCAAATCCGTTTGTTCAGTACACCCGGCTGCTTAGAACAGAACCAAAAAAAAACTAAGAATATTTGAAAACTATATCAATCAATACGAGACCTTTAGCAATGTTATTATCCAGTTAATTATTTTTAAAGTTTATATACTTAGCTGTGATGATAGGCTTTTATGATAAAATATATATACCTATATACTTAGATCTTGACTAATATCATCAGTATAAATTTTTAACGACAAGGCCTGTACTGCTGGTAAATATAATATAACCGTTAAATAATATCCTAGCAATACTTGCGCTATCCTCCCGCTTACCAATTACATTACTCAGTTCAAGGGCAGTGATGAATTAGGAGATTGACTTCGTCCTCGAGATGCAGCTGAAGGAAAAGCAGGATAGGGGCTATATCCATGATACTACATATGTTTATTGGCTATCCGAGTAATCTCCGCCGCTACTTCGACTCTAACAGATGTGTCTGACAGGCGCTGGATAATCTCACGCAAGCGTTTGTTCGAGTTTGGTAAAGTCTATTCGCCCTAAGCCTCCCCCACATATAATTTTCGACTCTCGAGCTTAAGAGTGCCCGCTGGGATTAACAACAACAAATTTTCCTTGATGGTGTGAAACAACACATTTAATTCTGTCCTCGGCCTACTCCCCTCTCCCTTATCGGCCCACAATTTCCCACCTCTGCTTTTCCTTATTTCTGATATGCCGTTTGACAAGTTGCAAAGAACTCTATCATTGATGTTGCTGAGACAGCAGTTCCGCTGGCCCACACGCCGCACCGCCGCCTTCGGAATTTTGGCTCTGCTAGTGGTCTCCAGTCTCTCGTGGTACCTTGGTGGTGGTAATCCTCCGGGTTGCAGCCGGCTTATTCTGCGCGCGATATTGTGCTAACTACCAATCCATGACAGATGGTATCAACCCCGTGCATGAGCAACTATCCAGATACACGACCACTTATGACAATGCAACGAATGAGATTGGCTTGGTACTAGCAGCGAGGAAGCACGAAGGTCTAAATTGGGTGCTGGAATATTGTAGGGATCAGTATGGCACTTTGAGGTCTCAATTGCCATATGTTCTTGTGTTGCTGACGATTTTCGCCGCAGCGGGACAATTCCATTTGTCTACACCACTGATGCCAACCCGGCGCCTCATCTTTTGACTCCGCGTACGATTCGTGGTCGCGAGGCCACCGCCTACCTCTCCTTTATCATCGACTATTACGACAGACTGCCGAGTTACACCTTCTTCGTACATTCCGATCATGACCAGTGGCATAATGACCTCTTTGGCCCCAATACTGGGCCCATCCTGCGCAATCTCCGCTTGGAGGCTGTCGATGCGCGAGGTTATCTTAATCTTCGATGTGAGCATGAGCCCGGCTGTCCGACAAGTGTTCAGCCGTGGAGCCCGTCAAACCTCGATAAACAAAACCGTGATATCCGCGCCTATTTTGCCGAGGTATACCAAATACTGTTTGATGTTCCTGCCGACCAAGTTCCAGAGCAGATTGGAAATGTCTGTTGTGCTCAATTTGCTGTTAGCCGGGCGCGAATCCTTCAACGGCCCCGATCAGATTACGAGCGCATGTTACGCTGGGCGGATGAAACAAAGCTGACAGATAGTTTTGGAGTTGGATGGGTTTTCGAAAAGATTTGGCACATCATCTTCGGAATGGAGGCTATATAGTGAGTGATGCACGCACGCATATTAGGATTGGTTCCAGGTGAAACAGAGTAACATGTTTGGCTAAGCTGATATCTAGTTGCCCTCGATATGAACAATGTCGGTGCGACGCATATGGCTGGTGTGGACCTTTGGTATCGGGTGAGACTCTAACAGCAGTGTGAGCAAATCAGGCGTTATGATGGAGCCGATTATTCTACTTGAAACATAGAGTGTATTATCTTAATTGAGGTAACGTATAGAACTATTAGAAATACTCTATGTTGAAGCCGAAAGGAATTACAGTTTATAATACAAATTCGGCTAAGAATGGGCGGTGGTATGCGCTGAATCTTTATGAATTTCAGCATTATTCCACACTTAAGTGTGTGGGAAAGAACGTTCTATACCCATTCATATAAAAAGCAATGAGCTGCTATTGTGATAAAAGACCTGATGAAAAAGTCCTAAACACGCCGGCAATGTACACCTTTAGAAAGAATCTTGAGAAATATTTGATCTCTCCATTTAAGATCATGGAGATACTAAGAAATTCAGCGGCCTTCATTATCTCTCTAGACCGGAATTTAACTAAAGCACCTAAGACTGCTCTAGCTGTCATAGGTACAGGGCTGGCCGTAGTTGTGACCGAGTGGGCTTAGTAGAGGGATGTTTGGTCGGGGCTTGCTTGAAACCCTTATCATATGATACATCAAATTGTGCCTTGTTCATAATAAACAAACGTATCTCATATGCCCGACAATTCGAAACTTGCTCCAAAGCCGAAATTGTAAGCTTTGCAATAAATATATAGATAGTTAAGAGCCGGGAAAATTAGTAAAGAGATCCTAGTACAGTGGTCCAGTGCTACAGGATGCTCAGGAGTCGAATTTACTGTTGCCTCAATTATGTGCGCGCTAACAGCAACTAAGTAAGTGTAGGCGCGAGACTTTACTCCCCCGCGCCTAATCGTAGTTCCGAGTCGAAACATGAGCCATTATTTTCTGTTGGAAGGCGGGCTGACGAGGGGGAAAGGGGGCTGTGCAGCCTTTCCTATTTCTCGATTGGCCTAAACATAAGTACTATTCTGCATGGTCTGAGCGATTGCGTTCAGCCTCATCATTGGAAGACTAAAGTGGGTCTTGAGAGTGACCGGATCCAGCCTTTCGCACTCGTCCAGCTGAACGTTAGTCAGCCGATACGCTCGATAACGTAATCCACATGCGGGCTGGCCACACAAGCGGCCTGGTGAACACAGGTCACGGCAGCTCTTTCTTAGGGTCGCGTGAACCTTCCTCATACACGTGATGCCGAGCCTGTTACATAAGCAGGAATGTTCCACACGAATCTATAGATTACTGTTTTCATTATTGAATTCGAATTCCTCTTATATTCTTAAATACTAATTTAAAGAAAGATAGAAATCTCTTCTCCTTAATTTCTTTTAATCATTTTACAATTATTTAAAGTGGATTTAAGGAGTATTAAAAGTAACGTCTATAATGTATATTCTAGGTGTCTCACTCTTTTCTGAATTACAACGCTTACTAATCCTATTTAAAGTATGTTCATAACAAATTGATACCAAAGTATAGACTTAAAACAAAACTCTGGAAGAAGTTTTATGTTACAGCAACAGATCTTGATCTTCTTTTCAAATGATTAATTCAAGATAACAATTATAAATATATTTGTAAAAAAGCTTAATTCTAAGATGTCTTTACCTTGTTACTGTTTTCAGGTTCTCGAGCTAGAGCCGGGGCTATTGTAGAGTTAAGTTTATATAGAAATACTAATAAATATCTTTACTACAAGATATACTAGATTTCTATATATACAGATCCTGTTAGAGAAGCTAGCTCTTGATATAAAAAGCATCTCACCTTTAACATCCAATCCAAAGATAAGAAAATCAAAAGATAGGCACTATAGATTGTCAAGAGAAAATAGGTCAGTTAGGTATAGAATAGTAGCAGTCCATTTTTCAAGACTAATCCTTGCTATCTGAAGGTCTAGCAAGGTTCTGAGAGTTAAATACTGAGAAAGATCTAAGTTATTAGTGTTACAACTGTTACACTAAGGATGCATAGATATACTATTAGCAATCTGCTATATATACAGGAATTATCTATAATAATTAGATTTTCTCTTATATACAGCTGTTTTCAGCAGTGTGATAGTGGTATAGTATTGCCGCTTTAATAGATAAGCTAATCTATTTAATATATATAATAATAGCAGGCAGAATTTGGCCGGGACTAGTCTTAGTTAGACATAGTTATTATAATTTAATACTATTCTATTTTAAAAATATTATTGTTTTTTAATAATAATATTAATAATATAAACATATTTTTATATATTTTTCTCAACATCTTTAATATTATTAATATTAATTGTTTGTATTAAAAAGCTTGTGTTTTTTTATTGTTTCTGTTTCTATTTGCTTGTTCCGCGGTATATATATAATATTTTTATTCTAAATTTTTTTAATATTGCTAAGATACTAATAGATTACTATAATTTTTTTAATAAATTAGAATATCTGTACTGTTAATTCTTTATTCTCTAGCTAAGTAGCTCTTTTTTTTATATATTATATAATATCTAAAATATTTGTATATTTTAGTTAAGAATTTTGATAAGATTGCCGGTAAGAATTTTATACTCTGTTATATTTTTTACTGTATTATTTATAAAGTATTAGCAATACACAGTAAAAAAAATTAATTATATTCTAATAAATTCTTTTTCTTTTTAGCCTATTTTATTTTCTATTTTTTTATATTATTTTAATATAGAAGCTAAATATTAATTAGGTAGTAATAGCTATACTGAAAAATACTGCTGACCTGTTTATAGTTCTAAAATAAACTAATTATTTTTAAATAAAAAAAATAAAAAAATAGGATTTTTTATTATACTGTAAAGTTATTTATACTGCTATAGTTTTTGCTGATAAATTTGCTGATATAAAAAAGATCTATTATATTAAGTATTATATTTCCACGGCTATAAAAAAAGCTATAACTATAAGTTTTTTTATTAATATAATAATTATATATTAATAGTTTAACAGAAATACACGGCCGAGTACTGTGGATTTATAACAGAGTACTGTAGTTTAACTATTTAAACTAAAAAAAATATTTAATATTTTTATTTTTTATTTAATAATACCAGCTATTTGCTGTAGTCAGTAGCAGTAATTATATTTTTAAATAAAATAGTCTAAAAAACTATATACTTGTACAGAAACAAACGGGGAGCAGAGAAGCTGTTTATTAAAAAATTAATAAAAAGATTTTTAATAAAGATAATTAAGAATTTATAAAATTAGTATTATTTTATTAATATTAATAAATTATTTTAATATTCTTATATTATTATAATTCTGTTTTTATTCTGTTAAATACATGCAATCCGGGTTTTTTTTAATATTATTTTTTCTATAATTTATACGCGTAGATATAAATAAAATAGGCATATAATATAATAAACTTATATTTTTTTATTATAAATTATATGCATGTTGTATATGTCTTGTAGTTATTTTATTATTATTTTTATTATATATTAATTTTAATTTATATATTACAGGATAAAAAGCTATAATTTGATTATTAAATTTATAGACTTTCTGCTGAGTATTTGCTAAATTTTCTGCCGGTAACTATTAATTATATTTAAAAAACTATTTCTACTATTTTATTAGATAGAATTGGTTTTTTTAATAGTATAAACTATTTAATATCTGCTCTATCTTCTATTTTTTATTATTATTTAGATCTGGTATTAGCAAAGTTTTAGGAATGTTTTTTCTAACTTTTTAAAATTCCAGCAGAGTAATATGGAAGATGTTATATAACTAAATATATTTATTAAAAAAATATAGATAAAATACTTGTTTTTCTATAGCTTTTAGAATTCTGAAGAATTTTATAAAATTTAGAATTAATTTTTAAAAGGTTTTTTTAAATTTTATATTTGCAGTAGATAGCTTAATTAAATCTTTTTATTTAAAAGTATAGACTGTTTTATTTTTTTATTTAAAAAATGGAGTACTGTAATGGCTATTATAATAAGCTGATTAGTTTTTGCTTATTTTCTGCTAATTATTTTTTAATTTTTTTTATAAAATATTTAACTTTTCTAGTCTCTTTGATATTAATAGTACTTTTATTTTTGCAGGATTATTTTTAATCTAGAATCTAAACTTAGATAAATAATCTATTAGAGCTTTAAAAGAAATTATTTTTATAAAGGTATTTAAATAATTATTATATACAAATTCTGCTTTATTTAATAGATTTATCCAGTGGTTTTAATATTTGATTATAAAGCAGCGCAGGTAATATTTAAGAACTTAATTAGTCTTTTTTATTTGGCTGTTGGTTTGCAGGTGAAATATAATTAATAATTATTTTTTAATTTTAGTTTAATAGCAGAGATTAGATTAAAATTAATTTATAAATATAGAGTCTTTATTTATAACTATATTATACAGAGCTTTATATTTAAGCTTAATTTTTTAATAAAACAGTTTGGCTAGTTCTTCTACTTAAATTATATATAATACCAGTATAAAATAGTTTATTTTTATAAAATAATTAATAATTATTAATATAGAATCTATTTAATAATCCTGGTAGTATAGCTTGGGTAGTCCGGTAATAAAATCTATAATAATTTTAGTCTATAATCTTGATAGAATTAGTAGACTTTTAAACTTTTTATATAGTTAATATTTAAAAATAGTTTAATATTAACAGATAGAATATATTACTATATAGTTTTTTATATTATTTTAAAGACTAATTTAGTAGAACTTTCTGTAAAGAAGTTATTTAATTCTATTTTATTTAAAGTAATCTGCTAACAGATTATTATAATATTGTTATAGTAATTCTTAATATAGGTCTTCTATTTCTGGTATATAAAATCTATTTTTAAAATATAATAATCTATTTATTATAATTCTCTAATATTTAGATAGTTTATTTTTCTTTTTCTAGGACTCAGAATCTTGATTTTAAAAAGTTTTAATCAGGTTTTTTAAATTATTATTATATTCAGATTTATAAATCTTTTTAGTTCTGCTTGCTTTTTTTATAGCTATATTATTAGTAGATTATTTATAATTTATTATATAAACCACAGCTTAGTCAGCTGATTCTGTACTAGCAGCGCCTGTAGGCCTGTTTAATATTATATAAATATTAGATTTAGATC